TCATTTCAAGATTCGTAATTTCTTAGATACATAATTGAACTAACTTCCAGCTTCACTTAATATGTTGAAAATTCAAATAATTAAAGCATAGCTAATTAGGTCATTTAAGTGCTGTATGAGTAACCATGCTAAAGATGGGCCAAATTGAATTTGTGGCACAGCCAAGGATGAAGTGTTAAATGGGCAAGTGTCAGTTGTGTAGAGCAGACAGATATTCTTTGACAATTGCACTCTTATTTCTTTGAAGCCAACAGAGTTTGGAACCACAAATGCAAAGCCTCCATTCTAAAATCAGCTAATGATTATATTCCAGCATCAGCCGTTGTTTGGAAAATGATTATAAAATCCACTTATTCATCCAATCGTTTGAATAATGAAATGTTTTAATGCAACAGTGATCAAACTTGTTTAGTATGTTTATTTTCATATATATTTTATACTGTTTTACACACACACACAAGCCACAATCGATGACCAGGGTGCTTTCCCTGTGATCATCCATTTAACTGGAGCAGAATCACCAGCTTGCCTTGCCTTGTCTTCTCTTCTTTGGGATCTGTGAAGTGGTTTACACCTGAAGGAGCTCCCACTGTGGACAATGCATATAGGGTCATTTTACAGGAACATAAATGTTGGCAGAAATCATCCCCATTTCCCGAGAGCTATGATCACTATTTAGTCTGGCAGAAACTATTCTCTGTAACAGGCAGATTGCTATACAACTTTATAAGCTCTTAGAAGTTTGTAAACAAGCAAACAAGAATTAAAAAGAATTAAAAGAATTAAAACAAGAATCATCCAGAAGCGTGGGAAACATTACCAACTACCAGACCTCACACAGAGTCAGTGAGTTTGAATTTGAGAAAAACTAAGAATTTCGTTTTAAATTGTGCTGGCCTGCTTTAAATGTTTGTGTCTTCTTGCTTATTTTTAATTTTACATTTCTATTTTTTTACTTGAGACAGGGTTCCACACTGTAACCCAAGCTAGCCTGAAACTCACTTTGTAGCCTGGGCTAGTCACAAAGGCATAAGAATTCCCTGCCTGGGCCTGCCTAGTGCTAGGATGATAGGTAGAAGTGGCCATGCTGGGCTTTGGAAACTTGTTTTCTTTGTCTGTTGCGGTACTGAAGAGCAAACCCCATACCTTGTCCATGTTAGAAAAGTGCTCAACCTCTGAGTTATATCCATGGTCCTTTCCTTTTTACTTTTTATTTTGATATAGTATCTCATTAAGTTGTCTAGGCTGACTGAATGAATTCAGTAGACTATATAGGCCTGCAATTTTTATCTCCTTATCTCAGAATGGTTAGGATTATAGAACAGTGCTACCTGGCATAAAAGTCTATCTTTTAAGTAGCACTCCAGATGACTCCGAGGACCAATTAGGGAAAATATTTAAATGAAGTAACACAAAAGTGAAGGATTATGTATGTGTGTATGTATATGTATATATATTATAATATGAATGGGTATGTTTTTGAGGGAGAGTGATCAAAAACTAGGTAACAGTATTGATACTTAAGTTTTTATTATTATTATTCATTATTATTATTATTATTATCTAAAGATATTTCTTGTGTCTCTGCTTTTTGTAGAAGCAGTGCACATATTAGTAAGAAAAATCAAGCATGACTTCTGGATCCATAGTTGGAGTCTTATGCCTTATGGAACTCATAACCAGACATGAAAAATACACATGTTCAATAATGAAGTAGTGAATAAGCCCAACTCCAGTGACACTTTTGCAGTTCCAAGGATGGATTAGGTGACAAATGCTAGCGGATGGTGCATGTCCTGATGTTATACTCACGGTCTCTGTTGTTTTATTTCCACTCCAATGAAATTTGATTCAATCTCCTAAAGTAGAGATGTGATATACACTGAGGTAAGGGCACTTAGCAAATCCCACGTGGAACAGAACACCTCATTTAAATTCTCCCTGTTCCACCGGAGATGGATGTAACTGAGCCCAGTCTAACATCAACATAGCTACGCTTTGCATACTCTTAGCCTTCAAAGGTACCACGAGGTTAGAAATGACCTTACTACCCCAGTCTGTGCCATGAGCCTTATCCTGTGTCTGCACACATACATGTTGTATGTACATCATGCTTGTTGGAGATAAGTACTGCTCTCATTATGGCAATTAGTAATATGATTAATGCTATTTAAACACTTTACTGATATTTTGAGCCATAATATGACATACGTCAAGTTCTCTAAATAGATTTGGCATTAAAAACTACTGTATGCCCATATACATAAGTGACTAACTAGGAAATCATATGAAATATTCTATCAAGCACAACCTTTCTGTATCTTGTAATTTCAAGATTTCAAAAGAGAATAACAAGCCCTGGGCATATTCCTGAGAAACTGAATAAGCATCAGGTGACCAATAATGATATGAAAGAGAAAATGTCTGAGTTTTTAAAATCTTTTGGAAAATTGGCCATAGGCGCAATGTTGGTACTGATTTTATTTACAATCCTAACTGTGATGTGTTAGTTAAGGGGCAGTCCAAAAGTAAATGTGGATTCAGTTACACTAAAATACAAGTGCAGTTGTGCACTTTCACTTTGTGCACTGCACAATAGCCTCAGCTAGATCTGCAAGGACAGAACTTCGCTTTAGTTCATGTTCAACAATTGCACAAACAAAAAACTCCAGGGATCAAGTTTCTTGGGAAACACTAATCTAAATAATTCTTGAAGGAACTGGCTAGATGCCTCAGTGAGTAAGATATTTATAAAACTGAGGACCAAAGTCTGGATTCCTAGCACCCACATGAAGGTCAGACATGGGTGGCAAGCATTTGCAACCTCAATGTTGTAGAGGAGTAGAGGCAGAAGGATATTGGAGACTTGACAGCCAGAGCAGCAGACTCAGGTTCTCTGAGAAGCCTTTTCTCAGGAAATAAGACAGAAGATAAAGGAAAACATGAACATTAAATTCTGGTGTGTGTGTGTGTGTGTGTGTGTGTGTGTGTGTGTGTGTGTTTGTGTGTGTGTGCCGACAGACAGACAGACACACACACATACAAGGCACACACAGAGAGAGACACATCTGTAAGGGGGTACATTATTTAAAGATTACTACTGGGCTGAGGAGACAGTTATTCTGCTCGTGTGTGATCATGGAAACCTGAGCTCAAATCCTCAAATTTCATATTTACAAATGTCTGTATATTCTAGACACCAAAGATATAATGACAAATAAAATAAGTTGGGGTCTTCAGGTTTATGGCAATGGTTTGGGTTGCATAGGAGTTATAGAGCCACTCATAAAAGTCACCCAAATGTACTTATAATTAATTTCAAAGACACTATCTCTAAAATAAAATAGCATATGCTTTGTAATTGTGACAACATAACCTGACTTGAAGGAGAGGGTCAGGGAGGGCTTCTCAGAAGTAAAAGAATAAAATAAAGCATTGAAGCCTAAATGGAAATCATAAGAAGGAGGGTAGAAAGAGGTACAGAAGCCCTCCAAAGAGACAGGAGTGTTGTGCTGGTTTTAAAAAGTTCCCCCATAGTCTCCTGCATTTGAATATATGTTCCCCAGTAGGTGGCTCTGTTTGAGGTGGTTTAGATGCTGCAGCCTTGCTGGAGGAAGTTTGTCACTAGGGTTGGGCTTTGAGATTAAAACCTCATGTGACTTCTAGTTTGTGCTCTCTTCTTCATGCTTTTATTTAAAAGTGTGAGGTCTCAGCTACCTGGTCCTGTTGCCATCCTGTAACTTGTTGACATCCTTTCCTGCTACAACGGGCTCTCATCCCTTTGGAATCATAAAACCAAACAGTCTTCCTTAAATTGCCTTGGTGACAGCACTTTATCACAGCAACAGAAAAGTAACTAGTGCAGGTGTTTCTGGGCTAGAAATAAAAACCCAGCTTGTTTGGGGTCAAGAAAGTAATGAGAGAAGAGCAGGAAAGACTGGTGGGAGAGGCTGTCCTAGACCTGCCAGAACCTGTAGTCCATGTTTAGAATTTTATCTTTATAATGAGAGTCGTGGCAAGCTATGCAAGACTGTTAGCAGAAGGATAATATTATGGTTCTCATCTTTAACAGCTTTATTTTCACCTGGGTGAATGCCAGACTCATAAATGCTATTTTGAGGTATTGGGCTTTCCTGTAACTTTGAGGTTCTAAGTGGTGGCCTGGAGAAGGAGGAGGTGGGAGGTAGGGAGGGTAGAAGCAGATCCACCCATGAAGGGGCATTGGGAGGGCATTGCCTTATTGCTCACATGGCTTAACCTGGCTGCTTTAGGCCTCTCTAATGAGCTTCTGAGGAGGAAAGAAAGCCATGCTAAAAAATATAACTAACTGCTTAGACGGGTTCACATGTAGAAGAAATTTACATGTGGTTTGTGAGCTATATAAGGTTAACCTCTCCATGAATTTACATAAAATTTTATGATACTCAATGTGGTACTCCTTGTCCAGTCTCTTTTTGTAAAGGTGTGTATCAGGACTAAGAAAGTTGTCTGAATTAGCTACTGCCCTTCTTAAAATTTCAGAGGGTAAGAATTCTGGCTGATCTCATTCAACCAAGTGTGATTCTAAAATGTATCCTTGAAAATGAATAGAAAACCAAGCCAAGGCTTTGCAAGTAAGGAAATATGGCCGAGTGCAGAGAAGGGTTTGAGAAGCTTAGCGATGCATCTGAGCCTGGCTGCTAGAGTCACTTATGTAAGGTCCAAAGTTGTTGGAACTTTACTTCTGTCCTAGAAGTCCTTGACGGTTTTATTTTACTGCTGGAAAATAACGTCCCAGCAATTTTGCCATCTTCACCTTCCTCTACACAATCCCCTCACTTACCCTCCCCCCACTTGCCCATGACTATCAGCAAACTCAGTCTCTACTCAGGAGTTAAACAGGCACTTTAGAATGGTAGAGAGCTTACCATCACCTGAGCATGAACAGATAAAGAACACGTTTAGAACTTAGTTAGGCAATTAACCTTGTTGTTAATTGTATGTTTCTTCCTCCCCCTAAGTTTACAACCCTGAAGGAAATACAAGGAGAGCTCTTACCCTGAAGGATATTTTAAATGGAACATTCTCATATAAAACATATTTTCCTAACTGGATTTCAGGTAAACGGATCATTTTTTTTTTCAGATGTTTGCAAAATATATATTCTTTTCTTGTCAGTGTTAAAGTTCTTTTATAATAGCTGGGGCTACTGCTCACCAGTTGAAACAAAGAGATGGATTCTTAGGAATGTTTATGTAACTTTTTAATACCATCATTCATTCTGGTCTTGCACAATTGTTATGAAGCTACTTTAGCAGGAAAGCAGAAGTTAGGAGGGCTGTGTGGGAATATTGTCAGTGAATGACACTGCTCATGAGAGTGAGTAGCAGGTCCCCATTTAGGGGAAATCAAGAGAATTTGACCAAGTTGGAGTGTCCATCATTATTCTTAACAATCCAAGGACAAGACAGTTCCCTCCTGACGACAATGCCTTCAAGGGTTAGAGAATTGATACTCCTAGGTCTTGTAATCAGAGCATGGTCAAAGAAGTGATGAGTATACGTAGATGATATTACACTTGTGTATATAAAGGGTCATTTACCAAGACAGAGTATTGCCTTTAAAAAAAAAATTTATGTGAAATACTTGTTGTGCTAGATCAAAACAAAGGCCAAATACATTTATTTTCATTATTGTAAAGGAAACTTGCCATTTGTCCCTTTCGTAGCTCAGACAAAATGAAATGTTATTTATGAGCACCCTGAATAAGTTAGAACAGGGATGCTCTAGCAAATGTGCTGTCTTTATGAGATGCAGAAGGAGCACATTTTCTTCCTTCCCATCACCAGCTTCTATGTACTGGACGGGGAGGAAGACAAGGTACATCTGTGAAGCAGAGGGGGTTCTTTTGTTGCAAATATCATCTTTAAGAACAATCACTTTATGTTTTGCTTTCTTTTGTATTTAAAGAACAAGAATATCTTCATCAGTCTGAGGATGATAACATAGTATTTTATAATATTGAAACAGGAGAATCATATATCATTTTGAGTAATAGCACCATGGTATGTATCAGCATCGTCCGACTCTCTCAGAAACCTTTGCAAGCACCCCACTGACCCAAGACCACATTCAAATTCTTAGTGGTGTTCTGGATACAGCCCTTTTTCCCACTCTATCTCCTGTGCCTTCCTCTAAACACACTCAACCACTGCCTTCTTCTTCTGCTCTACTCCATCTTTTTCCCCTCTGTGGACCTATATGGCATCAGATATAAATTAGGAACCTAGAGTCAAGTGAACAGAGATTCAGCTCCTGTCATTAGTATGAAACTTTGGGTAATATAATAACCCCAGCTTGTTATGCCTCAGTTTCTTCTACTACAAAGCGAGACCAATAATACTTTTTAGGTTAACATAAAAATTGAATCAAATAACATTGTAAAGTACTTAGGACATTTCTTTGACTCTTTTTTTTTTTTTTCTTTTTGGTTTTTCGAGACAGGGTTTCTCTGTGTAGCCCTGGCTGTCCTGGAACTCACTCTGTAGACCAGGCTGGCCTCGAACTCAGAAATCCGCCTGCCTCTGCCTCCCAAGTGCTGGGATTAAAGGCGTGCGCCACCACCGCCCGGCTAGGACATTTCTTAACATAGAATAAATGTCCAATTAAGGGTAGCTGTGATGTTTGGTGCATGTTGTATTATCTTCCTGGTTTTTCAAGCCTGCTTCATCTAAAGCTTACTAATCTTTCAAACTGAGCTTAAAGGCTAGCCCTGTAGTCTCTGTAACTTATTCTCTCGTTTCAATCCCATCACCCCTCCCTTCATGCATTTGCAGTATTATACCGAATCACTTCTATAACTTTCTCATTTGCCCTGTCAGTCATCTGCAAGATTTAATATTATATGCTTTTGATTTTTTTTAATTTTTATTACATCCTCCCATAGTGTCTAGTAGTTTCCCTCCTTTGCACTTGGGATGGTATCTACTTTTTGAAATCGTGCTGAAAATGTATGTGAGCCTATCGATGATATGGTATCGCTTTAGAATGAAAAAGCTGTGACTGGTGTTTTTCTGTGTTCTAACTACCTTCTTCATGTTTCAGAAAAGTGTGAATGCTACAGATTATGGTTTGTCACCTGATCGGCAATTTGTATATCTAGAAAGTGATTATTCAAAGGTATCAACTATTTAATTTTGATAAATACACACACATATATATATTCATTTCTCCCATTAATATGCAGAATAGTGTATTTAAAAATTTAAATTTGCATAAGAAAGGAGAGGAGGTACCTACCAGTAGGAATCTACATCTATCTTTAAATATGTAAAAAAAATCAATAAATCTATAAAGCGTAGCTGAAGCACAGACAATAATTGAACATAGTTTTTTAGTCTGAGTGTCTGGTTATTCTCAAGTAGCAGAAAACACTTTTTTTTCTAAGGTAAGGAAATTTTATTTTGGGATACTGATATACATCAGAAACAGAAGAATTATGCTGGTATTTTGAGAACTCTTAGACACCATAACACATTGGTTAATTCTTGCTCAGTTTAACCACGCCCCCCAAACTATACTGATATTATAAATGAAAGAATCAATGTGTAGCTTATTAAGTCATAGAATCAAACAGGTATATACAGTCAACATAGCAAGGAAGAGAGCTCAAATTGTATATTTGAAAGTCCAATCCCTTAGTGTGACTGACATCTATGAGTAAGTAGTAGATAACTAATAATGATTTTACTTCTCCCTTCATGTGTGACATAAGCACAAAGCGACTCATTTACTTTCAAATTAAAATTCTACTAGTTCTCCTGAGATCATGAAACTTTTGACTACATTTTGCAGATCTTCTCTGAGATGAAGTTTCCTAGTAAGTTCTCCTTCTCTATTCAGACGGGAAAGTCATTCTGACCACTACCAGCATGCTCAGTCAGGGGCTTACTCTCCAGGAGCCCAGGTCCTTATGTCTTAAATCCCCAGAAATATGCATTTCAGCCTAGTGAAGCATATCAAGGGATTGAAAGCCCTTTAAGAAATAGAATCCAAAACAATGCTTGCTTTATTCACTGAACCCAGCACATACTCAAGGAGATAAGAGATGGCTTTGTTCAGGAGGATTATTAAGACAAATGCTCCTACTTAATTTCCAAGTTCCATGATTTATATATATGTGGCCAAAGAAAGGAAGACATTTTGTAACAGACTGTTGGGTGAAATTCACACTGACCAATTTTAAAGAGTAGTATCCTTTCCAGAGACTTCTGCAGACCCTAGTGGCTGTGAACATCACAGGGGAGCTCTCAATCCAGAGAAACATTCTGAGGACAAAGTGTGTCAAAGATGAGCTTTTTATACTATGAAATGATTTTGGGTATGTGTTTTAATGGAGTGAAGTTGAGATAACACTGAGGTGCCCTCTGGGACCTGGACAAACAGCACACAAGTATACAGTAGATGTGCAAGAAACCCTGCTTTGCGCTGAAACAGATTTGCCCTAGAGCGCAGTGAGGCGCTGTCATTGCATGTTACTTGAATGAGCTTTTAAAGCTTCATCTTGTCTTTGCCTCTCTTCCTAACAGCTCTGGCGATATTCATACACAGCGACATACTACATCTACGACCTTCAGAATGGGTAAAACACCACTACATTAATGTAGCTTACCTCTAAGACTTCTGGCTCTGATTTGGGTTTAAGACTACATGATCTTGTTACTGACAGTATGTAATTTGAAATATATGTCAATGCACAGAACAGCACAAACTTCCTATGACATATTCACCTGTTTATTCAACTACTATTATGCATTTTATATAGAGAAGATATTTAAATTTTCTAATTTCAAATAGAAAATATAGATGTCCTATTTATGGAAATAAAAATGTAATAAAAATTTTAAAAAAAAAAACGCATGGGAATGCGACTATTTTAAGGAGGGAACCCACCACATTAGAAATATGCAGGAGAAAGGAGTTACAACAGCCATTGTCTGGATACATAGATTTAAAACTGATGGTTTTTAAAAATAACAAAATCCTTTCTTTAATGCTTAGAGTGTTAAGTAACTCTTAATTAAAGAAGGAATAATTGCCATTTATATATTATTTTTAATGTAAACTACATGAAATAGTTAACAGTTAAAAGGAAAACATGAGTGTATAAGAAGATTGAAGAAAGAGTATATGTTGGCTTCCAGGCAGAGAACACAAAGTGCTAATAACAATCTGAAAGTATTTCACTTCAACTGATTAGAACAGAGCTGCATCCTAGGGAGGATGGATAACCTTGGGAAGGAGTTGGGGACTGAAAAGGGGGCAACAACAACTAGGTAACCATTTAAAAGAGCTTAGAACTATTTTTGATGACTGAAGGAAATCCCTGAAGGATTTTACAGGAAATGACACGATCAGATTTGTACTTTAGAAAACTCACTCTGGCTAATTGAGGAAATGGATTAGTATAGTTACTCATCTTAATATGATACCCTCTTTGCTGTTATATAAAAAATAAGAATAATTACATGGCTTGCAGAGGTATTTAAAAGCCTCTTCTGGTCTACTGCCCCTTTTCTCAAGCAAAGAACAATTTTTTTTTGGTCATCTCCTTATTTAAATGTTCAGGGAAGAACCAAGACCTGCTTTTTAAAAACATGGTCTCAGTTGGTCTAATGGATTTGGAGTCTCTTTTCAGTTTCAATACCACCATTAGGCAAGAAGTATTTACAGAACTCTATAGCCTGAAAGGCATATATAGAAAAATGCAAATGAGCTGCAGAAACCAAGCCTACTCCTAAGAGCCCTTCAGTCTGCCAAGATGGGGATTGGAACCTTGCAGAACAGTTTGATTTGGGCTTTAATCATTTCTTTTTTTTTTTTTCACCATTTAAAATTTCTTGATGTTGAAGTCCACCAAATTGAAAAGTATCCAAATAAAGATATTCCCAGATCAAACAATTACTATTAACATCTTAACAATAGCTAAGATAAGATTTATCTCCTGCAACCATATGACCCATTTAGCTTTTTTATAGTAAATCTATTCAAACCACTGGTTTTTTGGTTATATGTAAATGTATGTGTATGTCTCCTGCTTTTTCACAACTATTTAATTTTCAGATATTTTCGACCAGGTAAAACAATATCATTTTAGTTGGAGATGACAAATTGGTTGAAAGTCTAGTTTTGATTAAATACCACTACTCCTACTTGTCTGCCTTTGAAGATTATTAAAACTTCTAATCAAAAAGCTATTTGCAACTGATACTCAGAAAAGGGACCTTTTCTCCAGTGGAGTGACAGTGAGTTTTTCAGCCACACTCCAGGACAGGCCCTATGCCCGAGAATAGTTGATCAACACAAAACAAATTCCATAGTTTTGATGTTGTTGTCTACTTTTTGTCTTATTTGTTAACTTTTATTTTCATTTTTGTAATTTTTGAGAGAGAGAGACAGAGAGACAGAGAGACAGAGAGACAGAGAGAGAGAGAGAGAGAACTTCAAACATCAAGTTGGGTTCATAGAGAGGTAGAAAGAATCTGGAGAAAAGTATGATCAAAATATATTGTATGAAAAAATTAGTAAAAAAAGAAAAAAATCTAGCAAAAAGTAATAAGATAGTTCTGGTATAAGCAAAGTGGGAATTTGTAGATGACAGCTTTTATAATACATCCCTTTCTCCATCTTTTATGACATTAGTGACTCATAAAACCCAAAAATGGCAGCTCAGATGGCTTTCCAGTCATAAAGAGACATGCAGTTGGATTTGGAGACTGCCATTGTTTATGTCATTACACAGCTAAATTGCACTCCATAGAGAAAACTTAGGCAGCATTACCATGTCAGTCAAAAGTGATATTAGGACATTAACTTGATACAAAATTGAAAACCAGGTAAAGAATGTCTTCTGCCTCATTATCTTTACTAGACCCTTACATATTCATTGTATCCTTGCCTTCCTGTGCCTGGTGATCATGTTTTGCCCTCTGGCTGCCAGGATTCCCACTGCAATGCAGCTCCAAATGTCCTTCCTCTGAGAGCATCACCCTTTCTGATCAATTTCTGCCTCATTGCTAGGTACTGTTCTATGTGACATAATAACTGCAAGAAAGATAAAGTGTTTTCCAGGTCTTCCCGGGTGTCCAAGTGTGAGGACGCAAGCAAGGTAGAACTGATACATATATGGGGCCCAAGGTACAGAGGCTGTTAGCGGAAACGAACGGGGTCTTTTTAAAATATCTTCTAATTGGTCTTAGGAGTAGACAATAACAGTCTTGATGAGACTACCAAGATGATTTTCAAGCAGTCAACCTTTCAGCCTGGCAACTTGCAGTTCTTTAGTACATAAACATTTGATATGTTCTCCTTGAAAATCTGCAAGAGCTCCACAATGCAATTCCCCTGGCTGAAGCTCACAGTGGGACGCTAAACATCAAAGTGAGATTTTTGGCCAATAGAATATCTGAAATTTCCCCATGGGTGGAGAACTTTGCAAGCTTAAGGCACACTGCCCAGTATACGATCTGTTTTTCAGTTTAGCTTGAGATCAGATGTTCCTTTCCTTTTCTGATTTCAAGTCAGATCCCTGGGGAGATTGTCAAATGGCATCTTATTTTCAAAAATTTGAAATTCATATGCATTCACAGAGATGGGGGTTGTGAATGAGAATGTGGAAGAGCACATATTAAACTAGAGCACAATTATAGAAACTCGGAGCTGGATGGCACGTCAGCGACCATCTTAGTCTGGTGTGTGCAAATTTTACAGTCTCAGGGGTTAAATGACTTGAGCTTTATTTGGGGTCTGCCCAAGAACCAGCAATGCAATTTTTAAGTCATTCTCATCTCTCTGTGTCTTATGGTTGTCTCCTGTAAGACAGTGGGGCTCTATTAGACAACTTCCAGATGACCTAGTCTGTAGGTGTGTTACCCACTTACTTCACTGTGAAGGTCTGAAAACAGAAGTTAGGTGATTTAAACCACCAATGAGCAGATGGCAGCCATTCACTCTTCATGGCTTCAATGCCTTATTCCTGTGTATTCCTCTTTTGAACTTGTAGAAGTGAGGATATTTCATACAGATGTCCTTAATTTTTATGGCTTGTTTACTTATTCTGTTTATGAAGATTTATTTTTTATTGAACACCAAGAGTTGTTGTGGTTTTATATATTTATTTATTTCTCTCTCTCTCTCTCTCTCTCTCTCTCTCTCTCTCTCTCTCTCTCT